TAAAGAAGTATCAAAAGCTATAAGGAAAGAGTTAAGAAAATTTAAGAATGAATAGGTCCACCGAACTAAAGAAGAAAATAAAGAAAGATAATAATAATAAATATTAATAATATTTATTATTATTATTATTATTAATCATAACGGGAACTATAAAGCCCACACCAACCCAATGGCTTCCAGTTTTAAGCAACATCGCTCCACCAGCAACAAGACGACTAGCCGCACTCAACACTCTAGTTCAAGAATACCAACAAAACCCAGAACTACCGATATAAACACAGACATCGCTGAACTACACCAAAGGCAGTTAAGACTGAAATCCAGACATCCACCTACTAGAACTGCTACAAAATTGGCTGTTTTCACTACCGAAGAACACTGGATGGGCAAATGGAATCCAGACATCAGAAATTCCAATCTGATAGAAAAACCCACAATCAAACCAGACGGCTTTTCTCTTCCTCGTCGTGAATGGTGCAACCTAAATAGAATACGACTTGGTCATGGAATTTGTAACAAATCGCTGAATCAATGGGGTATAAATGCTAGCCCGGAATGTGACAAATGCAGCGCTGCTGAACAAACAATTAACCACATCGTCTTCGAGTGTCCAGCCACCAAGTTCTTTGGCAGCCTTCAAGAAATTTACCAACTTACTCCCAAGGCGAGAAATTGGCTTCGAGGATGTAACCTTCGACTTCCTAAGTTGGCTTACGCTCAAAATTCGGAACAAAAGATCACCTACAAACAATAAAAAACCTTAATAAAAAATCAATAGAATATAACAGATCACTGGTACTTGCTCTGAACAATTAAAGAATAGACAACCGGCTTACAAAGTTGTCGTGCTCTGCAAATTCTCTCGTGCTCATGCAGATTATTATATGGAAGATGAGATATTTACTTGATGGTCATCAAAGAGTGTGGAGAAGAACTGTAGAAGGCTATGCTCAATGTTGCTTTTCTTCTAAAGTACAGTTTGATGATGATTAGATTATAACTGCTCTGAACAATAGTAAAATAGACTACCGGCATACAAAGTTAGTACAAACATTGTACCAAAACGCCACAATGCGTGTAAAACTGCATGGTATCACCAGAGAAATTCATATAAAGCAAATTGTGAGACAAGGCGACACTCTCTCACCTAAATTATTTATAACGGTCCACGAATTTCGTCTTTAAAATGTCAAAGTGGGAAAATAGACGGAGAAATGCTCAATCATCTGCGTTTTGCCGACGATATAGTACTTATTACCGAAGATCTGCGTGAAGTACAACAAATGCTACAAGAATTAAAAAACGTATCTTCAACAATATTAGTGTTTTTTTTTATTTATTTATTGTATCTCAACATCTAAAAATGAACATCAGTAAGACCAAACTTATGACAAATATGGTTCCCAGCGAACACCTTACCATACAAAATCAAGTGGTAGAATTGACAAAAAAGTACATATATCTAGGTCATGAAATCAAAATAAGCATGGATAATCAGCCTATAATCACTGCAAAAAGGCCTAAAAATTAACTTCAACAAAACAAAAGTAATGACAAACACGGAAGACCAAGAGGCAATAAAAATACAAAAAGAAAAAATAGAACAGGTAAATGAGTTATCTATCTAGGACAAGCAATCAGAGCTAACAGAGAAAATCAAACAGCCGAAATATCGAGACGAGTAAGAATGGGATGGGCAGCGTTCGGCAAACTTTCTTACGCTCTAAAAAATCAAACAATTCCTCTATACTTACGAAGCAAGGTATATAACTCCTGTATAATACCGGTACTCACCTACGGAGCACAGACATGGACATTTACACAGGCCAATTTGGATAGGATAAGGAAGGCACAAAGAGCGATGGAAAGACAAATGTTGGGTATATCACTTAGAGATAGAAAACGTAACAGTAGACGCGATAGAACAAGCAGCAAAACTGAAATGGAAATGGGCTGGACACAATGAACGTCTCCAAGACGGACGATGGAACAATGCCATCGGAAAGTGGCGTCCATACAATGCAAAGAGATCAAGAGGCAGACCACAGATGAGGTGGAAAGATGACATCAGGAAACAAGGAGGTCCCACATGGCAGAGAACAGCTCAAGATAGGGAAAGATGGAGAGAACTGGGGGAAGACCTATATCCAACAATGGAAGGATAGAGAATAGGTTCAAAAAAAATCAGACTGTAAATTTCAGCGACGAATAACACTTGCTTGGGCGGCGTATGGTCCACTAAGAGACATCTTTAAGAGCAACATGCCGATAGCTATGAAACGAAAGACATTTGACCAATGCGTGCTTCCTATTATGACACACGGAACAGAAACTCTAACTTTCACAAAAACAACAGCACTAAAAATACGAGTGGCACAAAGGCGCATGGAAATATGGATTCTCAGCGTGACAAAAAAAAAAGACAAAATAAGGTACCAAGACCAAAAGAAGAACATCTTGCTGTATCACTGATGTCTTCAAACGTATCTCTCTCTTCAATCCTGACCCCCCAGGGGGAGTGTAGTGGTCGACGTGATGTCGTGTACAAAAGAAGACAAACGCAGCACAGGAGCAGGGCAGAGCAAAAAAATCTAATCAGATGGTATTTGATTTTGTCTGCCAAAACATGGAAGTCTACAAGTGATCCTGAAGATAATGTCAAACAATAAATTGGGTATATAAAAGTCAATGGAGCAACCGTGGACATGGATCATTCGCTAGTAATAGGAGAAATAAAAATTAAAGTAATTAAAATAGAGAAGATATAATAACAGAAAATTGAATCGGGAGTACTTAAGTTAAGAGTATATGATCTAACAGAACAATATGAGAAAACCCTAAAGGAAAATCTAACAGAGCAAATAACAGAGGAAATATGTAAAAATATAAAAGAATCTATTTTCAATTCAGCTGAAAGTGTGCTATGACAGAGGGAAATAGCAAGAAAGACAATTGAGCGATTTTTGTCATTATTTTAGATTCTCATGAGATAATTAACATTTATCACTTTTCCATCTATTAACCGCTTACTATAAAATCAGAAGATGGCAACATGTTGCCAAAAACCGAACAGAATGTTATAACATTGTTACAGTCCAATTTTCAAAACCTATGGCATTAAATTTCGGTTTTCTTAAGTGGCTATTCAGATCATATTGTGATCTATACAGACGGGTCAAAATCACTAACATGTCCACGCCAGTGCTTACTTTGTACCAAACATGAATATTAAAAAATCAGTTATTTTAAATAATCAATCCAGCATATTTTCTGCTGAAGCATGTGCTATATACAAAGCCCTTGAATTGTGCTGTGAAAATCAGTGGAACAAAATTGTCATAAGCAGTGATTTACTGTCAGTATTACACTCCTTACAAAACTTTAAATTCACAATCAATAGCAATATTCATATTAGAAATTTTTCAACCGTTACTAAAACTATTAGATCCATATGGTGTTAAATTTGTATGGGTTAAGGGACACTCAGATATTTTATATTTTTGGCAATACTATTGCTGGTTCTATAGCTAAACATCCATTACAGCACCCACATATGGTGATAGAAGAGTTCAACACATGTGACCTACTTGCCTATATCAAACAACATTTAAATGGAACAGACGATGTTTCAGTTTGGTGAAAGCAGGGCACTAATTTATACAAATCACAACCAACAGTAGCTGTACAACAATTTTACAAAGATATTACACTAAGCAGAACACAGTTAACTGTCTTAAGATTAAAAGTAGATCATGGATGTTTTCCGAAACATCTACACAAAATAGGAGTTCTCCCAACAGACCGATGTGAGTGTGGAACTAGTATAGCTGATTAAATCACATATACTTCAACTGCCCACTACATCGTAATACAAGCACGTGGCTGCTAAAAGAATTGATAAAAGAGGGTTTAAGTACACCATTAAACATAAATCTTCTAGCAAGTGAAGACAATATAAAAATTTTTAAAATCATTATGATATTTCTTGTAAAAATTAAATTAATGAGTGTAAAATTGATTGTAGGCATGAACATTTCCTTTGCATGTTTACCATATATGTTGCCCACCTACCTAACCATGGTTTATCTTGTTTGTTACAATAAAGCCACTCTGATGAAACCCCAAGCGTGAAAAATGTCCTCCTTGTACAATCCTGTATGAATGAATGAAAAAAAATTCGGTTTTGATTTTTTGCAACAAATGTGAAGCATTTGAAATACGCTTCAAAAATGCTAAATTAAAACTTTCATATTACAAACGATCTAAAAACACTTATTACATAAGTACATTGTATTGTCTTGTATTAATAAAACATATTTTCCCCATTTTTGAGCTTTGTCCACTATTATTTGTTTATTATTAAGGATACTATTGAGGTTGTAGATATTGTTAAGAGAACAATACAAAATCCAAGTGGTATACACACCCCCTAGTAAGTAGTTATAAATACTAGTTAATAACGTCCTCGATTCGCATGGAACAACTTCCCATGTCATCCTGTAGATCGTCGACAACGCTGACGCCGGCTTATTACTCCTCTCTGGAGTGCCATCCAAAGGGCTTTGCACGGCACACTAGAATAGTTGATAACCTCTCTTATGCCTTAAGATGAACTGAGTATCCTGCCGGCCGCGTATGTAGCAACGACTACGGTTGATGCACGTACGTAGGATTTTCATTGTTTCAGAACGGCTGGATATCTAGATCTGTGTCAACGCGTTTTTCTGGATCACATTCCAGTTAAAGGTGAATGCATGTTCGATTTTAGTACTGAATTACTGAACTATGTCATTTACATTACATACATATCAATTAAATCAAATACAAATACATCCTAGTTTATCTGTATGTGGTGTTGTTTATCTGAACTCAATACTATCGTAGTCTTGACATTATTTATCAACGGATTTATCTCCATGCTGCATGGTTGCTGTGTGCTATCTCCGCACACAGGTGTCACTGAAATTAGGTCTTTGTGGGTTTCCTGGATGAACAATACCTTATATTTCGCCTTCTTGCAGAATTTCGATGTGATGATACAGCCTTCTTTGGCTGTAGTGATTTGAACTAGCCAGATCGTGCGATTTTCTGAACCAAATTTCAACTAAACAATAGATATTATGTCTTTCATTTTATCAATTAAAAAGTCTTCTTCCAATTGATTTTTTGGAGGATATAGTAGAATTAGCGCTAGTAAAATTGAGTGCAGATATGGAACATCTTCAGAGATATTTATTTTCAAATAAAAATAGGCAAATATAAAAAAAAGGAAAAAAATTTCCAAAAAATATTGGAATACGATGTTACTGATAACCCAAATCATAGTCAAAAAGCATATTCGGGATAAAAGTATCCTATAAGAACAAACTACTATTTATCGAAAAATTCCCGGAAACCAATTACTATAGTGTATTTTTATGTATGAGAGAGTAATAGAACAATAAATTATGTACGCAAATCCCTAAAGTTTACAGAAGTATATAGGAAAACAATTTTAAATTGAGTATGACCACCAGGTATAAAGGTTGGAGCAGAATAGAACACAATCGTTGTGAGGGTTACTAATCCCTAAATAAGGTTGCCAGTGTCGGAGTGATGGAGGTTAACAGCTACTAATGAATTTGCAAGAAATGTAAGATGTTTATTTTATTGGTTATATATAACCCATAGAAGTTTAATAAGTACATACTACCTATTTGCAAAATAAAGTGTAATTCTTTAGATAAAATAAAACGTTTTATTTTATCTGAAATGAGTGCATTCCACGAAGTAAGGGTTTCAACAATCAAACATTTAATTCTTTAATTCCAGGAATCTACGACAGTAATTGACTAGATAATTACCTTCTAAACTTATTCCACAGAAAATGTGATAGTGGGTTTTTCCATTTTGTAGGAAGGTCCAAGTGGCGTATTCAAAATTCTTAACAGTTCACTAAAAGTAGGTACTTCAGTTGCAAGGTGCAGTTTATTCTGTATACTAGTGTTATGGAAAATTTGGAAGTGCCGTGTAAACGCCGAAAAATTGGTCCTTTAACAGTTAATGGAAAAACATTAATATTTAATTGTTTTAAATCATTTACAGACAAACGTTTATGTGAAAGTGTTGATGAGGAATAAAGGAACTTTATTCGTTGTGTGCCCTTCATAAAGAAAAATTAAAAAAATACGAAATTGATGAAATTGTTAAAAATCGTGGAATGACAGTACTTGGATCCCAACCATATCATTGTGCATTAAACCCGATTGAACTGGTATGGGCACAGATAAAGAGTGAAGTTTCAAGAAAAAATACCACTTTTAAAATTCATGATGTTAAACAGGTGTTTTTGGAGGCCGTAAATAATGTAAAACCTGAAAACTGGGAAAAGGCAGTAAATCACACTATTAAAGAAGAGGAAAAAATGTGGAAGCTGGACAATATTACTGATAAAATGATCGAGCCAGTTATTATAAATCTTGGTTCTGAAAGTTCATCTTCTGAATCTGATTTGGATTTGTAACAAGTAGCTGTAAGTTTTATATTAATATTTTTATTCATCTATTTAACATACCTTAGACGGTTTTAAAAACTCTTTTTCTCTTTTCTAATTTTTAAAAATTAAAAAAAATGTGAATTTTTTAAAACCCTTTTTAATGTAGGCCAGTCAGTTCTAATATAGTGTGTGATAAAAGAGGTCACTTTTGTTTACATACACATAACACTTTATAACACTGAAATAATTCATTTATTTTTTACAATTATTCAAAGTAATTTTTCAATTAATCTTGGGCACGCCCATGGAGTGGTCGAAGGTACCAGTTAAAATTATGCCAATTACTCTCTCGTTCATAAAAATAAGCTATAAAAAATAAAGAAAGTAATTCTACGATAAAGTAAATAATTTTCTATTTTCTTTTGTGTAATTGTAATTGTTTAAAAGTAGTCAAAGTGAACATTCTAATAAAACATTAAGAGATAAATTGACTTACCATTGAGACAGGAATGGGTCCACCCGCTCCATTGGCATAGCTATAGGGCGAGACGAGGTATCCCATGTTGAATGAAGATGTGTGTGGGGTAGGTTCCACCTTACCTAAAAACAAAAACAAAGTTGAAAATGCTGTATTTATACTCCGTTTGAAAATTATTGAAGGCATTTTTATGAACCCTTTTAATTTAAAAACCATTTTGTGTTCTGTTACCCGTTTGTAAAAAATTCTACCAGTTTGACCGATGTAAGTTTTTAGGCAGTCACTTCAGGTATGTTATATAAGAACAACAAGAGCCAAGATAAAAAGCACTTACATAGTGGTCTTTACAAACATACAGGTGCAAAAAATTTACATCGGTCCAACGGGTAGAACTTTTTAAAAAACATGTAGCAGGTTTCTTAAATATATTAAATAAAGTGTAATAAATTTTGAGGAATTGTAGAAAAAAACGTTTTCAGTGCCTTATTCTTAAATAAACTACAGGATAATATTCCAGTTGTTGTAGGACATGTCTGTGAAGGTATATAAGTATGACCCAAGACAAAACTTATTTTTGTTGACAAATATCATCAAGGAAACCGACCCTGCTTAAGTATAAAGCCAAAGACTATGATGATTATTAATGTTAGGACATCTACGCAGATGATACGGCAATCTATGCAATTGGAAAAGACGACGGAGAATAGTTCTAAGCATAGAAAATCACCTTGGAAGAATCACAGAACTCACGGAAAAAAAGGAAAATCAAGATCAACACCCAAAAGATGCAATTCATCATGTTTACGCAGGAGAAAAATCCACCAGTAGTCGTCACAATGGAAGGAAACAGGATCCAATCAGAAGACTCAGTCAAATACCTAGGAGTCCACCTCGACAGGAAACTCAACTTCACGAAGAACACGCAACAAATCAAGTTAAAAGCAAATATTGCAAAAATAGTAATACTTCCTTATATTTTTAGGTCCAGTGCACTATTGAAGGCCAAGAAGATCCAACTATACCAGGCTTTCGTTAGACCGGTAATACTTTACGCTGTCTCAGTATGGAGCTCCACCGCGGAAACCAACTGGAAGAAGATAGAAAGAACAGAGAGTTCATGTTACCATCAAAAAACCATCTGATCAACTATACCAGGCCTATGGAGGTATGGACCTCCAGCGCAGAAACCTACTGGAAGAAGCTAGAAAGAACAGAGAGGTCATGCTACAGGATCATCGATGGATGAACATGGGAAGACAGAGGAACAAATACAATCATCAGAGAAATGCTCCAGTATACACCACTGAGGGAGGTGGCTAAGAATAGGACAAGATTTTTATTTAATTATTAATGTTAGCAGTAACAGTAACTTTTTTGAATGAGTTTTGAAATAGATAAAATTATTAAACACTCCAGTCGATATATTAGATGCTCTGAATATTTATATAGTATTAGTATGTTTCATTGGTAAAGTATCAAAAAGCCTTTTAAGCTTACAATATTATTTGAATAACTGAAACAAGACTCGAAAAAAAAAACATCACATTGTCATCACAAACGATGAGAATCCTTTTTGCTCGAAGGCAATTCGAAAAATTTACATATCTGTTGAATAACATCAAACGGAGGTTTTTTTATTCTCGAAAGTCTTGATAAAATTACACCGCATATTTTATTCATAAGATAAGTACATGGCTGCGCCATACAACAATGTTCGTTGATGAATTTAAGATGTTTCTGTTAAATATTCACATAATGTATGGCGATATACGCTCAGAAAATAAAACTAATCATTTGCTCGTTGAAGAGATTTTATCAAACGCAAAGGCGTGGTATATATTGATCTTGAATTAAAACAAATGTACGGAAAAGAGAACAGGTCTTCGTTTTTATATAAACAAAATGTTTATAGAAAACGTCTATGTCTATAACAATGTCTATAAACATGTTTTTCAAGAATCAAATAAACAAGTTGGCCAAAATTAACACCATATAATCAAAATTTGCAATATGTAGAAGAACATCGATTTTTGGGAATAATATTAGATACAAAACTCACTTGGAAAACCCACATTCAACAACTTAAAAAATCTTGCATGCAAAATATGAACATTTTGTACACACAACGCAAAAGTCTAGGGACATTTTTATAAATAGACGAATTTCCTTTATCTGTAATAAACTTTAAAAAGGTAATACAAAATTTGTAGTTTAAATTGTTGTTTAATATGTCAAAAACCATAAATTGCAAAAAACAGAAAATTGGATCAAAAAAATATATTGCAAATCATGCATATTTCACATACTACCACAAAATACGAAATATAAACTTAAAATAAAGTATGACCACCCAGCAATGCAACACCGGTCTCTGAAGTAATTGTAAATACACTGGTCTGTTGTGTGATAAAAACTGTTATATTGGAACAGGAAAACTTATTGATCAATATCTGTTCCAACCTCTTCCAAATAAAAACCTGTTTCGAAAAGAACAGATCCTGTTCCAAAGTGGCATCTCTAGGCCACCACGTCGGTTTATCACAGCTCTACATTTACTGTTCATGTTGCGAATCACATTGTTAATGTCTGCTTGAGGTAGTTGTGTCCAATGTTCTCTCAGAAGCTCTTTTAATTGAAACTCATTGTATAAGTTCATTTATTCGAGCATTCAACCTTATATCAATTAAAAAAATTTTTAGTTGTAATTCAGCCTTTATTTCAGTTTTTTCTCTAACAATAACGATTTTACGAAAATTTCTTTGTACTTTATAACATAGAATAACAATTTAGTTTGTTTATATTAAAGCTACGAATCTGGTTGGCCTGTTATACCAAATGCGTCTTTATCGTTAGCTCTCGTACTATGTTATCGATGTTTGGTAACCGGCTCCCTACTTTATACGTTTCTAACAAAAGATGTAAGCAGCCCTTAAGTTTGTTATAGTTACTTGCAACAGAAGCCCTAACTAAATGCAACTCAAACTATAGATGTGAACTATTTGGAAGTCAATTAATATTATATCAGGTGTGAACACTGTGCTATTGTTAATTTAACTTCAAGTTGGTATTAGTTGTGTTTCATTTTAGACGTCCATAATTATGAATATTAGAAATTGTTTAGACTTCACATCGCAATCTGTTATATAAGCCT